GTATTATATCTGAGATAGAGGGGCAGAGACTAGAGTATGTGTGTGTGTGTGAGTGTGTGTGTGTGTGTGTGTGTGTGTGTGTGTGTGAGTGTGTGTGTGTGTGTGTGTGTGTACTACACTGTCCTTACAATGTGGTGATAGTCTGTTATTTTTACTTTGTGGGGACATTCTATTGGTTCCCACAAGGGGAAACTCAATTTATAAGAACCTGTCAATGAATGGAGAGTCTTCATAAAGATATAGATATCTAATGTGCGCACGCGTGTGTGTGTGTGGTTCAGGTATACATTACATTGTGGGGACCAAATGTTCCCACAATGTGATAAAAACCTGTTACTTTGACAATGTGAGTGTGGGGACCTCCTTTTCATGGAAATAAAATTTTCTAAAAATCTGTGACTGTAATCAAAAAACTGAAAATGCCAAAAGTCTTGTATTTTGTTTGGTTACTTGTGGTTAAGGCTAGTGCTGGGTAGGGGTTCAGGCTGTGATTGTTGGGATCAGGGTTTTGCCCAAAAAATTAATGGACGATCCCCACAAAGATATGAGAATAGGTCTGCATGCACGTCTATGTGTGTGTGTGCACGAGTGTGTGTGTGTCTGCCTACCTTACTGTCCAATCGGCATAGGAAGCCCTGAGCCCCATCCCCCCCCACTGTTTAAATGAGACTAATTCATCACCTGAACGTCCCACTATAAATCGCCCTCCCAAAGACCAGCACATCCAGTTCATTAGTCAAATAAAGATTCATACAGGAATACACTGAAATAAAGCACCCCCCCCCCACCGCTCCAAACAAACATATACACATTTCGCCCCCCTATATAAAACAGTTTTCACGCATCAGTGAGGCAGTAAGCAGGGCCGGGGGGGCAATGACCGCACTAATGACGACGGCCTTGACCCAGCGTTGGGAACACGGCGGCTGTGGGGGGGGGGGGGTGTGCGCTGCCTGGCCCGTGGACACAGTGTAATTACCTCCCAGCCGGGCGCCTGCAGCCCTAATCCAGCTAATTATACTGATGTGCAGAAAAAAATACATTTAAATTATCCCTAAGGACCGGATGGCAAAAAGCAAGCGAAACGGCGAAGCCTTTAAAAACCAGCGTGTAACTAAAAATCGCCAACGGACAGCTAAGCGGCTGCTGGTCCGGGGGAGCCAGGCTGCCCTGCCACATCCGGGGCGGCTTTCCATTGGAAATCATGTGCCATATCTACCCGAGCCGTACCCGAGCCCAAGCTAACGCGGCCCTGAAAGCGCGAACAAGCCAAGACGGTTACGTCGCCACCATCTGATTGGTCGAAACGCGCGAAGATAGCAATGTTCTGCCCATGGATTATCCGAAAGAAAAAGCGTATATTCTATACATTATTCATTATTGGCGGTATCACACATCACATGTATTGATACATTGCTCATAACTCCTAAGAGATGGATTCGACAGGCAAATTTACACAAGTGAATGCTAATTCCCGCTAGCACGTCTGTGAAAATCGCCTTCTTATGTTAGTATCAAGCGCGAGCGGAAATTAGCACACAGTAAATCATGATGTACACCGTGTAAACAGTAAATAAGAACTACTTCGGTTTTACTTCCCTGTCACACTCCGAACCCGGAAATGCCGACCCTGCAGTGGAAAACCGAAGCGAGCTCTCTTCATGGTATGGCTCGGCCTCTATGCCAGTGGAAAAGCAGATTTGCCAGTGGAAATTACAGACTTGGCATAGTCTCACGTGTCTGAGCCCCCCCCCCCCCACAGAACAATATCACAGCCTGTCAGGGATATTAAGTCTTAACAGGGACAAGGAGAGTCACACTGCACTCACCGTCATATCCACGCTTAGCTCTGACCGGACCGGGAAAACACTCAGCAAAAGCCCTTGCTTAATATCTCCATAATTCTATGGGGGGGGGGAGGTAAACAATACCCAGTGTGACACAAACCCGATTCAACCACACATGAGGGTACGAGCCAGGGGGGTGGCTTTCAGTCAGTGCGAGTGATGGTGACAGCCACTTACACCTCCAGCGGTGAGTCGCTGGCCCGGATCACATTACAGCAGCCATGGGGACGGACCCTGAGCAAGTTAGGAGTCTGGACAGCGAGGACACGATGGAGAAGGGGAGCAGAGGGGCACGTGAATCTGATTTAAAGACACTGTATTCACATACATGGATGGATGGATGGATGGATGGATGGGTGGATGGCCCACCCAGGATCTGTCTCCAAGGCCTTTCCACAATATCCATCTGGCCAGGAATTTATCCCGGGACTGGCAGAGGTGGGGTCTGCCTATAATAGTGTGTGTGTTTGTGTTTTTTAGGTATATATTATATTGTGGGAACTAAATGTCCCCGAAATGTGACAAAAACCTGCTATTATGAGTTGTTTTTTTCAGTCCTCATAAATGGAAACTACTTCATAAAATTCTGTGACTGTAAACAAAAATGTCTTGTATTTCATTTGGTTACGTGTAGTTAAGGTTAGGGCCGGGTAGGAGCTCAAGGTGTCATGATTGGGATTAGGGTGAGAACAGAGAAGAGCAGATGAGCAGACAGGAGAGGAGATCCCTGCCCTTAACCTGCAGCTGCATAACCACTGTCAGTACAAACACCACGAAACAACAGAGCAACAGGCAATCAATCAATCATGTGTTCATCACGTATGCACTTAGTAAACCAGACTGGAGGTCGTAAGAGGAAATCTGAAGATTGGACATGTTATATGGTGACCAATCATGTTGAAGATGATCTTGTAAGGGGGGGCTTTTTAAAGTATATAACGGGGTACTTCTCTTTTTGGGGGTGTGCAGGCACCTGGGTTATGCGGAGCACCCTCTCACGCTTACCAACATCATCCATTTAATAAAGAATGTTTTACCTTATCAACCGTAAGCTTTGGACTTTTTGGACAAGTTTTTGCTTGGTGGGAAGGCAAGAGGGTCGCTTGGAGTTTTTTCTTCTTTTTTTTTCCCCCCATACAAATGAATGGATGGTCCTCACAAGTACTGGAATACCAACATGTGTATGTGTGCTTGTGCATGTGTCAGGCCGCCATACCGCTGCTTCTCCGCGCGCGCCTCCTTCTCCTTCTCCTTCTTCTCCTTCTCCTTCTCCCGCTCTCTGTCTCTGTCCCGAGCTCGCTCCCGCTCCCGGTCACGCCCCTTCTCCTTGTCTCGGGTCTTGCGGCGGCCTCCCCGGTCTCGTGATCGGCTGCGGCTGCGCTTGTGGCTGGAGCGGCCGCTGCTGCGGCTGCGCGATCGGCGATGGCGGGAGCGAGACCTACAGGGGGCAGTAAATAGGGTCAGGTGTAAAACAGCAGGCCGGGGAAAGAGAAGCACTATCTCAACATCCTCGCTGGATTCGCTAGAGAAATAAATCCCACACGCACCCGCGGGTGCGAATATCCATCCGTCTAAGTCTCAGGATGAACAGCCTACATTCGTCAGCTACAGGGGGCGACAGTGAGTAATTCACATCTCATTATCACACCATCGTCAGCGGCCAGCGGCGACCCCGACTCAGGCTTCGGAAGCATGATGAGGGCCAAGCAGACCCCCCACCCTGACCGATGCTGCTAAGAGCTATCGATCCCCAGGGCTATTGGCCGGTGATTTACTGGGCCACTTAGCAGGCCGAGACCCGGTGGTCGGTCACTTGTCCCGCGGCTCGGCCCAGAGCTGTCACCCGCCGAGCCGCTCGTTCAGCTCGTCGCTAATTCACGCCTCTATTGATTCAGATAAGTCATGTTTGGTGGCTTGGGAGGTGGCGGGGGGAGTGGGTGAGCGAGAGAGAGGGAGCGAAGGAAGACCCACGGAGGGAAAGGGGACTCCCGCTGAAACAGCGCAGTTTGGACACACGGAACTACAGAGCCAACGCTTGTCATTCGTCACCATGTTGAAACAAGCATGTCCACTATCATCCAAGACCCACAACAAAATAACTTAGCAGAAAATGATGGATGGATGGATGGATGGTTTTTCACTTCTTCCCCTACCAGCTCACAGCTCCAGAGTTTTCTGGAAAACATGGCGCTGAGCATTGATGACACAGGATGTTATTACCATGTACATGCATATATGACTCAGGGTTGATTTAAAAGTTTGATCTGTGGTGACTTCCTGTACTCAGCGTCCCCTAAGAGCGGGATCCTAACCCTCAAACACTGAATAAACACTGAGCCGGATGCCTGTCAGGACCACCAATCAGAGCTGACTTTTGCTGCATGTAAGACAAGCAGGCTGTACTGAATGTGCCCCAATTAAGCGAACAGAACTCTGTATTAGATACGCCCTGCGTTACCATAACGACACAGCAAGCTGAGGAGAGTGTGATTGGCTGGGTCTGAATAAAGGCCACAACTTTCTGTCTGACAGAGGAAGGATCACATGTTTAAAAATAAAAAATGCAGCCAGGTCCTGCTGAAAGTCTCCCGGAAACCACGTATTTTCATACCATTTACACGCAAGGCACCAGCACCCCAAGCAGAGGGGTCACACTGACGGCTTTGTTGTGCAAAAACCCAGAGTTTGGACAGATCCCTTTAAACCTTTTCCTAAGAAAAAAAAAATCATTAAAAACAGCATAGGCGCGCGGCCGGGTCCCACCGCACACACGGGTCTCCCTTTAAACATGAGCACACTTCCAGCTCTGAAGCAAATTAAATTTACTGTAGCTAATAGATTGAGGCAATGCTTCTAAATGTCAGTTTCATTACCAAGCTGGTCCCCTTGGAGAATTATTAGCTAATTTAAGGGTAAATGTGTTAACAGAGAAAGCCAAGATAAACACCCCCACCACCATGTTGCGCACAAACTCCCTATTTTACATGTTTCTGTCGTGATTATCTCCTGAGGAAGGTTTCTCCCATGGCTCGCACATATTTTCATTTCTTTTTGAAAGGCACGAGCCATTTTTTTCCCCCCCTGGCTGCTGTATTAAATCCCGCCGCCTCTATTGGCCGAGCCAATTTCCTCAGTGAATTATCAATAAAGTAATTACGGCTATGCCGGAGCACAGTGCCGCTTATCTGGCCTGACCTCCCGCACGTGCCGGGATCTGATCCCGGACCAGGAGCCGTTTGGGTAATTACGCGCAGGGCTGTGGGTCCGCGCCGGGCGTCGCTCTTATCTCGCCATGCTGCATTCCCGCTAAACGCCAGGTTTTTATTGAAAATTGGACATTAGTGGGGGCAGAGCGATACCACGCGCGCTGCAGACGAGCTGGAGGTCCGGCTGGATTTCACTGCGCGGGCAAAGTCGCCGCTGCCTGCCTGTCCCCCCCCAGGTGTGTAGTGAATCCTGTCCCTGCTGATATGAGCTGCGTGACCTGGGGAAGGGGAGGGAAATTAATTCTGAAAATATATATTTTCTCTGGGTTTTCTTTTTAAAACATTACTAAGTAAAAAATATATACAGTATATGATACCATGTAAACAGGCATCTCCTGTAGAGTCAGCTGTACCCCAGGGAGTTATGGGTTTAAATCAGCTAACTTCAGCCTGACACTGAGTACCCACTGACACAGAGTACCCTGTGACACCGAGTACCCTGTGAGACTTAACACCCTTTGACCTGAGTACACTCTGACACTGAGTACACTCTGATTACACTCTGACACTGAGTACACTCTGATTACACTCTGACACTGAGTACACTCTGATTACACTCTGACACTGAGTACACTCTAATT